TCTGGTTTCCACCTTTGAGAGAGGGCAGCTCATGTTCGCCAATATTGATTGATCTTTTCTAGACTATGAAAAAACACATAGTGGAATTCTTAATGTAGGAGGTGCTCCCCTTTAAACGCCTGTATGTCCCAGTAAACTATATACTGCAGACAGTCACATACAAATGATTACAACCTGGCCTATGACATGTGGGATGACACTCTGATTTTGATGTATTAAAAGTCACACCTGGTCGGTGGCCTGACCTTCAACATACATTTACTCACACCTGCACTCACTCATGGTCACACACACACACACAAACATATGTACACACATACACATATAAATGAGATGACCTATCTGTTTCATCAACCTGTCCTGCGACTCCTTTACTGCCTCCGATGATGAAGAGCCACAAGGTTGCTGACACAGCACAGACACCAAGCGATTGGTAGGATTATACATCATGGCCTCCCACAGGCCAATAGCAGCGGAGACTGATACATCAGGTGACCATTAAAACAGCTGCATGTTGTCCTGATGACAATATTAACTGGACTGTGTCACGGTAACATTTAGTCTATAGTAATCAGTTTCAAATGTCCTTGTGCTTAATGATGGCCCGGTTTGTAAAAGGTTTCATTCAGGAAATAGTTTCAATTAAGGGCAGGTTAAAAATAATGTACACATTAAAATCCACAGTCTAGCTCTTAAAACAGTGTTGATAACAGACAAAAACACAGTGCTTCATATCACTTAAAATTCTCTTTAAATGTTCTGCTTTATTTGTGTGACATTCACTCTCAACAAGGAGGCAGGTGCCAAGTGTATTCATGCGGTTTAGGAATCACAATGAAGTTATTAGCATTAAAATGCACGGCCGTGTGTGCCACAGCAACTGTGATCCTGACACAATCAGATAAGGTTTAAATGTAAACTGAGGCACTGCTTGGCTGGATCTAGATAGCAGGTAACATTTAAGAGACCCACGTTGTTGTTTGACTTTGGCATGATAATCACATGAGATGATAAGGAATAAACTATAGTATCAAGACTTTAAGGGACACAAGATGACCGCAGGCGCAGACATGCTGCAACCACAACCCCAAGCATCTGTGATATTGGATTCAACTCCACAGAAGCCTCACTAGATGAAACGTGAGAGCAGACTGATCAAATCTTCATAAGGAGAGGCAATTGCTGCTGCATGAAAAAAGGAGACTTTCTGTACCAAAGTGTGTGTATGTTCTTCTGTGAATCCTGCTGGAATTTAGCCTCGGGGTGAGAGGGCTGGGGAGGGGTGCGATAATGAACAGTAGAAGTTGGAGCTCTGCTTTTGCCTAAAACCCCCTAAGGCAAACACTTAAAAAAGGGACAGCTGTTTGAGCCTGCCTTGTTTGAAGTGTTGAGAATAAGGCGGGTGTATCAGAATTATCTATGGCATTAATAAGCTGTATTGCTGGAATGAAAGCTCAACTCAAGATGAAATGGGAGGAATAAGAGCAGTGGTCCAGTAAGTTAGTGGTGGCCATGACATATCATTTTAAGATATTGTCTAGTGTGCAGGTTGGGCCTGAGAAGTATACTTGTGTCATAAACAGTGCGATGGAGAGGGGAGCACTATATGTACTCTGATTGTGCTGGCAGGTTTGTATCATATTATAAATCATAGAAGAAGAGACTATGCTCTTACTGTGGGCCTGCTCAGGCTAACCATCCTCAGGGTTGCAGTCTGCAGTATCGATGTGGACAGAGCCTCTGTTCACGCGATCATTTGGGCTCAGCTCCCACAGTCATCCCGACCCATATAACACGTCACCAAATGACGAAATGTGAAAACAGTGGGCTATTGATGTAAACAAGCGCATACTGACGTGGGTTTCAAAAATCATGGTTTTAGTTAAATGCGTAGTTAAATCACAAAGATAGAAACACTGAAGGCTTGTTTATTATTTATTTTGTATATATATAATTCATGTAACCTATCTTTAGAGAGACAGATAACCGCTATCCTTTCATCTATAGAAAATCAATCTACACCCATCCCAAAGCACCAGCTCGTGCCAAAGCTGTAGATAGCTATCGGCTAGCTCTCACACGCAGATTATGTCACACAGCTGTCACGGTAAACCCACGAGCGACACACACATAAAAAAAATTGCCGTTTGCTTTCAACAGAATTATTTGCACAAGATGTGTTTTTGTCTTTGCTCTCTCACCAAAGGCTGTGTCTCCCCGTTGACTGGAGGTACTTGGAACCGGTCGATTTCTTCCATCATTTTGGCGAAGCTTCACGGAAACGATACAGCAGACAAGATAAACGGTGACTTGTGTCTAAGTATGCCGGTTGGTGATGCTCGGTTGTCGGGGTCCTTCGTTTTTCAGCATGATAGCAGCTCGTTTTCCTCCATCCTGACAGAGGTGACTCGACAGCAAAACAGCAGTACCGCCCCACTTCCGGGTCTGTGGGATATTCATGAGGAGTCTGACCAATCACAGAGGAGATCATATTGAAATGCGTAGTGAAGTAAATCCAGGACGGTCGATTTAAATATCTAATAGAAACATTTGTAGAAATGTATACTCATATGATACTGCATTTTAATTAAAATCTCGTTTTTTATTATTTAAAATCTCATTTTTTATTGGTATCCTTGCTCATTTGTTTGTCATAATAGTCTCAAGAAAAATATAGCCACTCCTTTTGCTTACTGTATAATACAACATAACATAATGAAGAGGAGAGTGATAACAAATTTTTTATTTTTTGCACTTTATTCTTTATTTATGTAGCCTTGTTGTGCACGGTTGGTAACCTCTGTGCACAAAGCTTCTAATTTACACATAAAGTATAAAAATATGCGATGGACTTAGTTATGATTTGCACAAAATATTTGTTGCATGTTGAAAGAAACATTGCAATAAAGCAAATAAAATATAAAATAATAAAGTGAAAGAAATATCTTACATTGAGAGATTATATAAAATTTAGCTTGCTAAAGAAATGTTGGAAAGATTCAGACTACATAAAGACTGGCTACATACGCTTTTTGTAATTCAGATAAATTAATAGTATTTCATTTGTTACTGTTTTCATTAAGATTTAATTTGGACTGATATACACAGCCTCTAAATAGGAAAATATGGTAAAAATATAAAAATGAAATTTTCAAAATTCATTGGTTGCATGTTATCCCTATGTCTAAGACAGTCCAAAAATATAATAATACAAGAACAATTCACTCCCAAATCCAAAAGCTAGAGCGCTAAAACTCAAATTGTGATGTCATAGGTGCTCCAGAGACAGTGAATGGTGAAAGATGTTCTAGATGACACTGAAAGCAACCTGGGGAATTTTCTGAGCATATGGGTACATTTTCTGTTTCAGAACTAACAACACTACAATAGAAAAACATGTGGGTACAAAAAGAAAACAAACGTGGTGTGGGTCTACAAAATCATGCTCCATGTCATTGTCTTTATGGAGCAGTATCAGACTTTACAGTCTATGACATGGCAAGTTTGAGACTTACTTCTCTGGTTTCTGGCTTTAACAAATAGTAGCTCATGTTTACAAAGATTGACTGGACTCTCCTAGACCATGGAAATAACATATTGGAATTCTTAATTTAGCTGGTACTCCCCTTGCATGTATTTGATGTGATACAGGCCTATTTTGTGTTTTATGGTATGAATAGCAATATTACGCCTACCTATATTATTCAGCTATTGATCATTCTTGGTAAATTCCACATCCAGTCAAAATGGTCTGATTCCAAACCCCAAGTTCTATTGTTGTATTCAAGCAGTATGGCACCTTACTTGAAGATGTAACCAAAAAGGCTTGCAAGGTTTTAAAGAAATTACATTTTCTTTTAACTCTGACAGGACTAAAATCAATGGACTTTGGACTCATCTAGCTTGTTTTTGTTTATGTACAACAAATGTGCTACACATCTTTGTTACTTGCTGTTTTCCATAAAAATAGAAAAATAAGACAATAACCCAGCACTGCAGAAATCTTGGTGTCACTTTTGATCAAAACCTATGCTTATCAGCGGTTCAATCCTGCTTTCATCATCTCAGACACATTTCAAATATTAGACAATTTCTTTCCACCATAAATCTGGAAACTGTTATCCATGCCTTCATAACTACTCGATTAGACTACTGTAATTCCCTGCTCTCTGGCATCAGATAAAAAATTACTTTTCTGCCTTCAGCCCATCCAAAATTCTGCTGCCAGGATTTTGACTCCAACCGGGAAACATGACCACATTTCATCAATCCTGGCTTCCTTACTCTGGCTACCTGTTGCTTTTCAAATTGATTTTGAGATATTATTGATCACTTACAAAGCCCTAAGAGGCCTTGCTCTAAGTTAGCCTACTTATCTGACCTTTTATCGCCCTATATCCCCTCTCGCACCCTGAGATCCTCAGATGTGAGGCTCCTTGTTCTTCCCAGGTCCAGATTTATTCAAAAAGATGGCAGAGCCATCGTAGTCAGAGCCCTTAGATTATGGAGTGACCTTCCTGTGGACATCAGGGTTGCAAACTCTTGTCTCATCTTACTAATCACTTAAAAAATACTTTTTTAGAACTGCCTTTTAGAATTTTTACTTATGTTATAGGACATTTTAATTCATCTAACCCAGTTTTTACTACGTGCCTAGTGTTTGTCTCTTAGGTCATTCCATTCTCTATATGTTTTATGTGTTCTGTTGTTATTGTAAAGCAATTTGTAACTGTGTTTGAAAAGTGCTGTATAAATAACGTTTATCACTATTATTATTATTATTATGTGTCGTTTTCAGTAATGTTGCCTAGTAGGCTACAATTAATGTTATGTCGGTGCTTTTATATCACAACTTAGAAAAACAGACATGTATCCCGAGGGCCCGACGTGTGCTCTCAGTCTGATGGGAACTATCTTGACTCCATTAGGATCTTTGCCCTGTCTAATGGCTGGCCAAGACGGCTGGTCGTCATGGCAACCTGTATACAGCAGCAGGTAGCTGCACGAGAGTCCTTTGTAGAGAGAGAGTTTAAGAGTTTTTCAGCTAACTTATTAAAGGTTTCTTTTTTTACTTTGTATCGTTTGACAAAGCTAAATCGTTAAGTTCTTGTTCAAGTCGTTAAACCGGATTTTTTTTTCGCAATGCCACTGCCCAGCACAGTTTCTATGAGAAAGGTAGTGTTAAATGATTTTGTTAAGCTAGCGATAACGTTAACAAACCTAATGCTAGCTAACTAGCTAGCAAAGTGATAATGCTACGCCACAGCAACTGAATAAAGTAAAAGCAGTACAGTTAATGTTAAGTAGGCAGTTGTTTTAAGTAAGCTGTTTATTTTATGTGTTAGTCATTAAGGTAATGTTACCTCTAATTTGTATTCGTTTCCACACAGGGCTCCACTGTTCAGAAGGTAACTTTACCTGGTGCCAAGTCAACTAAAGCTTCAAGTAAGAAAAAGGTGGGTGCACTTCCAACACACAAGCGTGTCACCAAGTTTCAGATAATGTTTTTTTTCTGAAAGGCTGTAGTAGGAAAAACTATGACAAACACGTGCTATTACATCTTGATGTAATTTTAAGTTTAACCACGACATAAATCTGTGCTGTATGTACTGTTACAGGATGAGGAAGAGGGTGTGGATACAGCTGATGGATGGGAGGAGTGGTCTCATGGGAAAGCACTTATTAAACCTCCAGATCAACTGGAGCTCACTGAGGCTGTAAGAGACCTTCATTGCTCAAGTGGTAGACAGCCACATTGCTTGTGTTGGGGGAATTGGCGAAGACCTTGCTGCTATTGCTTAATTCTTTTTTCCCCCATCTAGAATAGTTCATCAGCATCGTTTGGTCATTATTTTTGCAGTAAATACCTTCGCCAAATTAGTCACACATGTGTAACCTGTGCTGTTATGCATTCTGCTGTATCCGTAATGATTTCACCAGGAGCTGAAAGAGGAAATAACAAGGATCCTGACTGCAAACAACCCACACGCCCCACAAAATATTGTCCGCTACAGCTTCAAGGTAACCAAGTTGTATGGGGGTTATTGCTTATATCACTCACTGTAGATGCATCACTGCAATACTGAAGCCACCTCATCCTGAGGATTATTTCATTAGAAAGGCAGACGTTCTTGCTTCCCTCTCAGCTAGTCACACTTAAAAGACAGCTATTCCCAATCAATGTTCCTTTGCTATGCAAGTAGTTCATTAACATAGATTTTCTTCTTGCGTAACCGCAATTATACAAAACTAACAGGTTTCTCTGCTCGCTGTTCCTCACATAATTACTTATTATGTTTTCCAGGAACGTTCCTACAAGCCTACAAGTGTTGTGGATCAGATGGCCGTTCACTTTGTGTTGGAGGGCAGCCTCCTGCATCAAGACTCTGATGAGGCTCGTAGACTGAGGGCCAAAGAGGGTCTCTCTGAGGGTAGTTACTGAAACAGGCTGCAATAATAATGTGTTTACAGTTCTCAGTAACACTTGGTTAGAAATTCAAGGCTAATAAACTATTCTCTTCGATGAAAACAGCTCACAGTGTTGCATAGTGTGTTTTTGTAGCATGTAGTTTGTGTTTTCCTCTCTGGTGTAGTGTGTACTAAGCACCACAAGGTGTCACTTTCAACATGTGCCATAAAATTGAAGAGCTGCTCAGAGTTTATATGTAAAATGAGTGATGTGTTCATTTAACACAGTCAAATTCTGATTTTTTGATATTTCTAATGTGTCCAGAGACTACAACTGTCGATACTGGAGCAGAGCCTAATGAGGAAAAACCAGAAACCCCGGTAAAAATATGTTTTGTTGAACTAAAATCAGAGCACTGGTTTGTGTTGGACAGCATATTCCATTTTGAACAATGCTTTGGATCTGGGTTTTTTTTTTTTTTCCCACAAGGTCAATAAGTCAAGCGAGTAACTTGAGCAACACTTTTCTCTGTTGGTTGTCCACAGGCAACACCTGTAGAGGATGGAGGGGAAGTGGAGGAAGCTGGAGAAGAGGACAGACCAGACAGCGTTGTCTCCAAAACTGACAGGAAGGAGCCAAAAGCTACAAACCAGTTCAACTTCAGTGAAAGGGCCTCCCAGACCCTCAATAATCCACTGAGGGTAGGGAGGAGAAGGAGCATCTATTTAAACAAACATTTTTTACATAGTAGTTGATATGTATTCTAACATTTAAAAAGGGAAAGTTTAAATATTGGAGAGTGTGAAAAACATAATATTGATGTGTGTGTATAATAAAATATTCATAGCCTAGTGCCTCAAGAGTTTCACTGGAGTCATTTTTATTTTCCTGTAGGAAAGAAGCTGCCAGACCGAACCTCCTCCACGCAGCATCTTCTCTGCCACCGCTAATCAAGTACTGGATCCCCTGACTTGTTTAAAAGAGATGTTTGGGCCGGGCTTGTTTTCACCCTGCTGAGCATAAGTGAATATACAGTATGTGCTCACATGGGCTGACTGTAATAACTCAATTCTCTTTGCAGTGGGAAATCTATGATGCGTATGTGGAGGAGCTGCAGAAACAAGAAAAAAATAAGGAGAAGCAGAAAGCTGTGGTGTCAAAGAAAGAGAATGACAAAAGCAAGAAGAAGATGATGCTGACGGAGACCCAGGTAAGTGGAGCACTCACCAACTTTGCTGCTTAAACTTAACATGTATCAGGGGCCCCAAGTAGCTCTGTAGTGCAAAGACACTGTCCTTGACGCAGCGGGCTGCATGTCCGATTCCAGCCCACTATCCTTTGATGCATGTCACCCCCTCTCCCTCCCCCTTCATACATAGTCATTTATATCTGATATACATGTTGTTCCCATACATACCATACAAACATTGCCTTACAATACATTGTTAATGGCTTTCAGATCATAGTATCCCATCATCAATGCTAACAATAACTACCCAGGTCTCATGAGAACACTCTGCCATCATACTAATGTTCTCATATTGGTCTAGAACAGGGGTGCCTTTTTTTTTTTTAATTGGGGCCAGCAAAAGAGGATTCAACTTTCCACTGCTCCTGAAAGTGGCGGCCCTCACTGTCGACTTTACGCTTCTTTGCTGTGGCCATGTCTATTACCTAGCAGGAAATGTCTGCTGTTAGGTAACCATTCGTTTGCTAGTTAACTATCTGTTTATGAAAACACATTAGTTTCGTCTGCTTAGTTTCTACGTGGTGCATGGCTACAAAGTGTATGATAGTCCTGCCATCATAAGGTGATGTTACTTGATTAACCAGTATTGTGTTGTGGCTCACGTAGTATATTTTGAACAACAAGCCGTGGGTTGTTTAAAGTCGGTTTGTGTGCCACAATTGGCCCCTGGGCCACACTTTGTGTCATGCCTGTTCTAGGATCATTTAATAAGATAGAGTAGCAGTGTTTAACGTATGTTTTTGCAGTGTTGCCATCCAAAATTTTGCCATGTTTCTGTCACAGAATGACGACATCACCAAAGTGGGAAAGGCGTCCAAGATCTTTGAACGAATGGTCAATCAGAATACTTTTGATGACATAGCACAAGGTATGTTCTACTAAATATGTCAAGGGACATAATAATAATCTGTAATCTCATTAGATTCTCCATTTGCCTAACACTCTCCTCTCCTTTCCTCTCTTCTCTCTGCCCCCATTTCATGCCCTTTTAGATTTCAAATACTTTGAGGATGCTTCTGATGAGTTCAGGGACCAGGAGGGCACCCTCCTCCCTTTGTGGAAGTTTCAATATGACAAAGCCAAACGACTGTCTGTCACTACCCTCTGCTGGTCGGTTTGCTCATCAGCTAACTAACTAACAGTCCCTTATGATGATGATGATTATTATTCTGGGGTGAAATATATAGCTGCAGCTGCCACACTAGTGGCACTCTAGTGTGTTAAAGATCATGTCACTGTCCCCAAATATCAGTGTTTGTATTTCATTGTGTATCGCTTCTGCTATTCGAGAAGGGATGACTGATTGATGCATCTGTGTTGAACAGGAATAAGAAATATCAGGACCTGTTTGCTGTGGGAATGGGATCATGTAAGTGCACAGGATCAAAATGAGGATTCATTAGTGAGTATTTGATATTTGGCGTGACCTTTTTGTGACCTTCCATCACTTCCCCTCCATCCCTCTCCTGGCCAGATGACTTCAGTAAGCAGGGGCGTGGCATGCTCGTCTACTACTCATTGAAGAACTCTGCCTTCCCAGAGTACATCTACCCCACCGATTCTGGCGTCATGTGCCTCGACATCCATGAGCAGCATTCCTACCTGGTAGCGGTAGGCTTCTATGATGGCTGTGTGGCTGTCTACAACTTGAAGGAGGAGGGACTGGAGCCTGTGTATAAAAGTACAGCTAAAACCGGCAAGCACACGGATCCCGTCTGGCAGGTGAGAGGAGGGGACGAGGTGGAGGTGATGGGAGTTCAGGATGTCTATTTAGTTGCAGTCATTCCACCCTTGAACTTTTACTTTGACTCCATTTGTGTGTTTACTTGAAAGTTTTGCCTTTGAGAGCAATCCCAAACCAGCAGGTTAGGAGTGAAAGTGGAGTAATAAACTCTGACACTGAGCATGCAGCAATGCTGAGCTATAATACTCTAACCTAACGGAGAATTTAATGTGTTGGAGAATAAAGGAAATGTCACATAAAGGTGTCATCTTTGTCAAATAATATTACGATCATGCACATAAACCTTTTCACTCATACAACAACCAGACATTTTCTTCAGTTTTTGATCATTTTTTTATTCAGGTGCGCTGGCAGAAGGATGACATGGACAATAATCACAATTTCTATTCTGTATCATCTGATGGCCGAGTTGTGTCCTGGACACTCGTCAAGGTTAGCCAAGCAGTTTTATTCATTTACAAATATTCTCTCTGTAACCTGAACACCTGCATGGTGTTTTTAGAGATATTTACCTCTCTTCTCTCGTGTTATCTCACTAATATTCAAATATAAAGATAATTATGAGATGTTTATTACATGTTTTTGTGTGCACTCTGGATAAATGTGCCTGTGTGTTTGTTCACATTTGCAATTGTTTGTTTTCAGAAGCACGTGTATATAATTTGCATGTATACACAGTATATTTATCACTGCATCACAGTGCGTTTGTGTGCTTGCAGAATGAGCTGGTCTTTACAGACATTATCAGACTGTCACTAAATGGAGCCATCTCTGAGGGGCCAGAAGGTGCACAGCAGCTTGGCACTGGTGAGATCTCCATTACTCGTTATGTTATCTTGTGCATGTATAAAAGAATGTACACAATTACAAAACCGTTTTTGAACTGCTGTTACTCATGAACTTTAAATATTACCTGATATCAGATCAGATTTTTAATGCCTGGTGCATTAGGCCGGTTTCTGTAACAGTGCATGTCTGATTTGAGTGCTTGATTCCTCTTGTCCACAGCCTGCGGTACATCGTTTGACTTCCACAAACAGATCGACTTTCTCTTCCTAGTTGGCACCGAGGAGGGGAAAATACACAAAGTATGTATCTAGGATTTTAACTTAATATGTTATTGGCTGGATGACAAAGGTCACTTCTGAAATTACATTAAACATCTCATTGATGTGACTCATTTATATCAATAAGGGGGCTTAGGGAATAACAGCATAACTTGAGATACAATAACAGTAATGTACTTTACACTGGCTGCAGTAATGACGATGATAGACAAATCTATAATACACTGTTGCACACATTACGGGAGAATCAACTATAGTAATACATTACAGTACAATAGGTGCAGAACTGATGAAAACATTACCCTATAAAATTATAAAGTTGTTTTTTAAAATACGTAAATTTATATGGCACTAAATTATTTACTTAATTTACATACTTTAAAGAACCATTCATACTGAATTGTTTTCATTCACTGTAGGAATACTATTATGTCAGACTGATTTTTGAACACACGTAGCTATGAATATATAGTAGAGACTTGTAACTTGCTTGAGATAATCCCATATTGAGACAGGTATGCTGCAAGTCCATGCTATGCCCTGCGTACACAGTGTGTTTATTTTGAAAATGGACTATTTTAGCTGATAATGTGCATTAAATGAATCAATTTTTCAGTCAATTGAGCACAGGTGTCTCACTTCAACAGGCGGCCCCCTTATTCCCTCTAATTGAATCTTAAGAGTCATTATTATAGTTATTTGGTAATATTCCCCGATGGGTATGTTGATTATGGTTTAATGTTTTAGTTTGTTCTGGTTGACAGTCACATAAAAGTTGCTTTAAAACAGAGTCAGTGTCAAATAAACAGAAATACTTGATGTCAGTTTATCAATTATGCATTACAAGAGTGTTGCCACCCAGAGTGCATATGAACGACCACAAGGAGACAAAGGAGCTAGACCAAAGAGAGACATAACATGTCTGGAATTTTTAACATTTTGCCAGTTAAAGTAAAACATGCCAAAATTTGGGCCAACATTCTTATGGACCTATTACTAGTCCCTGCACAGGGTGTTGTTACGCCCCTGGGAGAGTCTGCTCACCCCATGACCACGACCACTATGGCCCATACCTACTGACCACTGCCACCCATCTTACCTGCTCAAATCCCCCCACCCAGTAACCTTGTATCCTGAGGACCAATTTAAGGGTGAGGAAACTAGTTAAACAGGGTCACTAATAAATATACAGTACTGGGTCCTTAGACAGACAACAGTCATCTCTAGCCCTGACTTACTGTACCTTTAGCTGCTTTAAAATCCTCTCACCAAGCAGTATTATTATTAGTATATACAGTATTTATATTGTATCTAGTTCGGCAAAAGTGTCATTGACAGCCTGACTGGCTTAATGACAACTTCGTGTGAACAGCAATTAGTTAGCAACCTTAAAAAAAACTTTTCCTGAGTTATGTCCCTTGACCTGTCTTTTCAAAGAAAAGAACATTATTTTAGTATTTAATATACTGCCAAAGTCACGCCCTTTTGCCAGTTTTGGTCACAAGGCGCTGTACAAAGTTAGTTGGTTGATATTTCTGATAATTCATTAAAAAATCTGCTGATGTTGTGCAGCAAAGCCTTATCCCTCAAATGCGTTTTGCTTCTGCACCACCCCTAAATGACATTAGGATCATCTTGGGGCTTCACACTGCCTCCCACTATCTGCCCCTGAAAAACTGAAGCTCATTTTGCTTGTGGTGCACTTACTGATATCGTGCTGTGCTTGCACTCCAGAGGGTGCATAGCCTAGAAAGCATCCATTAATTGTGTGTGTGTGCAGTTGTCCATGCACGTGCACTTGTGTGTGTCCATGTGGCCCGTTGGGAGCCCCTCAGGCTTGACAGCGTTTAATGAGTCTCCTTAAGCAGAGGCTCTCTCTGTCCACATCAGACAGTTGGTAGTTTTTGGCTGGCCTCCCACTCACTCTATGCTTTCCTTCCTCGTGTTCTTGTTACTGTCGGCAGAAAGACACTCATAAAAGTCTCATTTATTTGCAGTTAGCGTGCCCTCATTCTATTGATTTAATAATACAAAATTGTTAAAACAGCTCACTGACTAATGTATACATCATTGAAATTAGCTGATGTTTATAAAAACTACACCCAGTGCTTGAAGGATGACTATCTCACATGATCATAAAGAGAATACAGCGTTCAGCAGTGAGATGGTAAGAGTTAAAGGTTCTGTATCTGACATTGAGAACACTAATATAGTGGCAAACCACTATTTGCTATGTAAAGATACAGTGGAATAATGACGTCCTGACCAGAAAATAAAGTGACGCTCCCTCTGTTTGTGTTGTAACCTGAGCTTCTCTGTTGTGAGTCCCTGTGTGTGTATGTGTGTCCTGGTGTCTAGCTAATCACTGTTGCTCTGCGCTTCACTCGTATTATGGTTACCGCTGATATCAGGATAGCATGTTGCATCCCAGTCACCCACCCACCACTCAACACCATTAGCTCTGTCAGCACTGTTGCTGTTTTTAGCATTGTGTGCTGTTAGCATCATTAACTGCTAGTCTCCACATCCATGTTGGGAACAGTGTCAAGACAACCTCTGAATCAGGCTCTGAATTCATAGATATGCTCTGAATGAAGCTCTGTTAAGGTTAATTCCTGACTGCTGGAAATGTAGCACATGAATTACTTCATTTAAAAAGATAAAATAACCATGTTTAATGTGGTGCACCTTTGTACAAACAGTAATTAGTACAAGACATTCATTAGTTCTGTTCACTTGTTTTGTTATGTTGTCAGTAAAAACACAATCACTGTCTCTTCTCCTGTCAGACAAGAATCATCGTGAATCCATGAGTTAGGAAACTAAAATGCCTGATTATCTTAACCTTTGGACTTAACTGTAATCAGACACGTTTTAATCATTTTTGATTGCATTTTGGCATCTTTATGCCATGCAGCATGATTATGGTGAGGTGTATGTTGTGTGTATAGGGACACACACACCTCGGCTCCACTCCTGTGAAATCATTAAACTTACCTCACCCTTCCTGCAGACATATGTGCAGACACACACCCAGTATGTGTGATGAAATATGTTCTGTCTGTCACCTCAAGGTTCAGTGGCACAAAAACCCCAGGGGAGGACGGATAAAGAATCTTTCACCTAGCTGCAGGTCAACAATCAAACTGTCAGCGTTTGGAAGTGCAACAGCTGTCCCCACGAGCTGTCTAGCAGTTTCATCCTGGCCTGTCCAGTTTATTTATCCCTGCAATCTAACTCTGTTGCTGTTTTGGTGCTTTTGCTAACCCTAGTCTGTCAGCTGCAAACAAACTGTGAAAATGTATAGGGCAATTTAATATTGAACCACGGAGGATTAAATTACTCTCTTTGGGTTAAAACTGTCAAGTAGATTAGACCCCTGTCCTTGCTTCAATCAATGATTCAGCAAGACTTTTCCTTCAGCTGTCAGTGGAAAATTACCTTAGAAAACAAAATTAGTTCACAAATTCAACTCAAGGGGTGTCCGTATCATTTTTCATGTTTTATGTGTTTACTACTCATGAAGACAATTGTGACAATTGTTCTGTGGCACTGTGGAGGGAGAGTGATGTCTAGTTAGACCTCGTTTTTCTCTGATTTCAGCACAACATTTTTACCAATTATACTATATAAACACAAACCACAGTAACAGTTGGGATTACAGTCAAGATTTGATTAAGCTGAGCAGGACTGGCGTTACCACGGCACCTTAGATTAAATTTAATACTAGACTGTTGAGTTATCACTTAGTATTTTAGGTAGCAACTTGAGGAAAGAAGTAGAAAAGCCTACAATTGCTGTATCTGTATTACCCTTTGATATATAGCATGGTAAAAGCACATCATTCCACTTAGACATTTCAACAATCCTCCAATACAGTGGTTATAGTAGCAGGTGCCACCAGCAGATAGTCAAGGGCTTCAGTCACTGAAAACTATGTTAAATAGTACAATATTAGGAAAAACTTTGTCTTCACACCATCACCTTTTATCCAAATCAAGACTTTGCCTCTATTCACTAGTGCTCCAAGACATACTCAAGCCAGTTCCTGGAGACCTACAGTGCCCACAGCATGGCAGTGGATGCAGTAAAGTGGAACCACTTCCACCCAAAGGTTTTCATCTCCTGCAGTTCAGACTGGACTGTCAAGATCTGGGACCATACCATCAAGTAAGACGACTGATAAAGAGAAAGAGTGAATACTTACAGCTTCTGTAGATGTGACATCTCTCTGCACATCGTATACTGTATCACAGATATAAGAATTATTCTATTTTGTAGGGCTGCCCCCAACTAAGTCGTCATATAGGGCCATTAGTCAACTAGTCGCCTTCATGTTTACGATATTAATTTAATTATTAAAGTACATATTTTGGGTGGGGCAACACAATGGTTTTGGTTCAAGGTGTGAGAAAGAATAGTATCAGTAACATTGTTAACACTGTGCTACATTACAGAGAAATACAAAACCGTACTAATGAACCTTCTTTAATATAGGCCTATATTTTATCAACAAGTGCACGTCACACACTGAGCGAGCCGCCTGTTAAGCAGTAATGATTGTGCTAAGTGGCTAATGGGCATGTAGCTACTTCCATGTTTCAGATGATACGTCATGTTTGTAGTCGACGAATGAAGATGATCTTACATATCACCTTGGATTCGTCCTTCACCTTCTCAGAATGATCCCACACTTTGGATTTCCTGCCAGACATGTTATTAACTAGCCTGTGTAATAACCACAGGAACCAGCTCTGTAAATCAGGGGCTGTACACATGCCGTGTCTTTAACCACCTGGAAAACACAAGGTGGGGCGCTGATCTTGTGCCTTTTTTGTGCCAGCTTTTAAGAGCGCAGTGACAGGTTGCGTCTGAGGTTGCTTTTTTTTTTGATGAGGTTTAGCTCCTAATAGAGTTTCATGTTTGTTTTTTTGTTGTTGTTTTTTTTCTGCGACTTAGCAACCAATGAAAGCTTGCCGACTAATGACCTTTCTGGTCGACTAACGTTTGGTGGACCATTAGGGGGCAGCCCTACTATTTTGTATATGTTTTATCTAGTTTTTAGTAGAAGTTTAATTATGTCATTTCCATTCCTGTGTAGTTTTTAAGTTCTGTGGTTTCATTTCATATATCAAGAAATACAAACAGTACATGTTGGTATAATTTGTAGGGGTGTAAATCACCAGCTTCATCACGATACGACATTATATCGATTTGTTTGGATGACGATACAGTGTTTGCCAATATCACAAAGTCTGTCACGATATGATTTTGATTCGATTCGATTCAGGAGCCTGCGATCAATATGACGCGATATCATATGTCCATCTAACACAATCATTTACATCAACTCACAAAAACAACTAGAATATGATTTGACCATTTTATTTCTGAGCTTTTTCTGAGTTTGTTGTTTGAGTGGAGGCGCGCTTGCCCAGGAATGGTGACACAGATGTGCTATGTGAATTTCAAAATAAATGTGTATCTTTAAGATGACGATATGGATCGATGTTCTCATTTTGCATCAATATAATTGGATCGTTAATCAATGAATCGATGTATCGATGTGGATCGATGTATCGTTACACCCCTAATAATTTGTGGCATTGAGCATGAGCGTGGCATGACGTGGTCCTGGTAATATTGAGTAACAGCACTCGCCCACCATTGCAGCGATTAGGGTTATATCTTTGACACTTAACTGGGTGGCCCATCAATGTCAACTGGCAGTATTGGCTGGTGGGAAGCTGTTGAGGGACATGTACTTGTCGCTGCATTAGTGACTCCTACTGGTTGGCAAGGTTACATTTGAAGAGGAGGGTGACACCTCCGGGGAAAAGAAATACTCAGTGTCACAGACTCTCTGTGAAACTCTCCAGTGTTGGATGAAAGAAGGAGCTCCTGTCTCCGTATGTGTTGTACTTGACACATGGCTGGCTGTGTAGTCCGTAAGCCGACAGTGGGATTTAAGCAGTGACAAAAGCTACAGTGCATGAGGAATTGGTCGTGTCAAATTGGGAGTAAAAGGAGAAGAAATGTGAAAGAATTACATTGGGGAAAAATTAGTCAATTAGCTATTGTTAATTTCATTGTTAATTTCAGATTTTATTCATTTTAATAGACTGTTCATGAATATATAATTTATGTTTCAGTTTCAGCATAATTCAAGTAAAAGTACCTGACTGGAAGGAGATGGAAGATAAATTTGTCATTTATCTCTCATGGGAATGAAATGCTGTGGTTAGTTGCAGACGCAACTGCAATTTTAAGCTGTATTTATATTTTCATGGTTAGCAACATTATTAATGTGCTGTGTTGAAATGTTCAGTGAAGAAAGGATGAAATAATCATCATTCCTGTAATCCTTCCATAATATTATAGTATATTTGTCTTTATTACCTTTTTATACTCATTATGGGCCCAGCATAATTTTCCTTGCTTATCTGACTAACCCACAGTGCCTCCCACTTCTTGTCAGCACACGCAGTTTGATTGAATAATGATAGTAATCAACCTCCCATTATGAGAGACGGGGTTTTCAAGAATGATCCATAACTTCCCATCGCTACAGGACATATTGTTTCCAGGAGAGGGTCTGACTGGATCAAACAACTTTTCACAAACTTTACCACACTGTTCAGACGTGTGTCAAAGCTTAACAGTGAAAAGTGCTACTTTTGTTTGGTGGTTGAGGTAAATATATAATGTAAAACTGTCATATGGCATTCCTAAATGACCCAAAGTAGTAATAGAGATTTCCTTTAAGTTTCTTAATTAGACAAAAGGTTGGCTTGATAAACTCACCTCAGCCTGGAGATAAACTAGGACATCATTTATGAATCCCAGCAGCTCTGACTCTTGGGTTTACAGTTTGTGCAGTGTCATTTTCCTGTAAAAAGCCTTCTCTTGAAATACTCCGGGACAGATTTATGAGCCTTTTGCGCCTAATATCAGACATTTTCTACACCTACCAGAGTGCATGTTATATATCAAACAGGCAGAGCAGCACAGAAGCACAGTTTGTCATCTGAGGCGTTTCTTGCACAAAATCAATAATGGAGGCTGGGACAAATAATGGGATGAGTATTAAGTGTGGTTGATTGTGCATTCTGGTTTGTTCACTAAGGTTCATACAATTTTTGATCATTGGTTTTGCATAGAAAATGCTATTCGTGTGTATACTGTGTTTAAAGGGATATCATGCAAAAAGTTGTATATTGTTTGTAAACCCAACATTCAAGCTTAGCACCTCCTCCTTACACTGCTTGTACAAACACTGCAAGCTACTATTGTCAGAGTGTTACATTTGTTGTAATGGAAAAGCCGATACTTTAGCAAGCTAACTAAACTGTCCAACAGAAATACAGCCAACTCTGTGTCGCTTTTAATCCCTATCCGCTCCTTCAGAGCTCGCCAGCAGAAGTAAAAGTGAAAGCCAACCCCAGATTCGCTCTAGTTTTGGAATGAGCTTTGTCCGCTTGGTTATTTTGCTTCGCTATATTTGCGTTTCCACTGTGTTGTGTCCATGACTTTTATAGCTTCCTCTTAGTTTTGTACTGCTGCTATCTGGTTGCTACATTTTTATAAAGGCCAGATGTCACTTGTGTGCTGTTATTGGCCGGGGGCTGCATGCCCCTGCCCAGAAGTTGCAGCCCCATAAAACTCCCCACCGCAGCAAAATAAGAAGAAAAGGAGAGTAGTCTCTGCAGAGACATCACCACACGTCTCTAGTGGGTCATAAGTGATGATTGAGAGGGAATACTTTTTTATGAGTCCATACATTGTTCCTCAGGAACATCCTGCATAGTATACTTTTAAGGAATGGTGTTCTGTAGAAATGTCAGTGATAGCAGTTGGAATGTAAATACACCTCAGAAAAGTACTTCAGCGGCGCTATAAGAAAATTGCCCCAAAAGAATAAATAACATATAAATGAATGTCATAAATAAACACAATATGTCCACTTCAACCAAAGATGGGATACAGATTTGAGGCTGTGTGAGTGTGGCCATCTTTGACATTCACTGAGCTGCCGAAGCACTATTTTGAATGCATTCCTGATAGCACATTTCAACATTGCTATATTTTGATTTATTTTTTTGAGCTTGCTGATGGCAGACATATTCCACCACTGAATAGGGCCTTTTGAGACCTGCTTCACTTGCAGAATGTGCCTAGAAGGCCATCTCAGGTGTTGGATGTGTAATTAGTTTCTGCCTTAGTAAATCAAACACAAATTACTGACAGACTGCTGGTGCAAATTGCTTTCATGTATGCACCAAACTCTGTCCTTCTGTGTTACCAAAGTTGCACCCTATTGAAATTGTAAGTTTTGCTTACACTGTCTCTCTCTCTCTCTCACTGTCACACACACTCCTCAGTATTTGAAGAGGACTTGTATGTGCCTTGTTTCTTTTTATATTTCATTTCTTCCCCCTGGTTCCAGTGGTGTTTCACAAGTTAATAAGGTAAGGAAACAGTGTGCAGGACCCTTCTGTTTCATCTCCACACGTGTTCTCTGCCAGGCTCTGCTGAGGCATCAGTGTCTGGACAGATTGTGACTGATTACCATGGATGACAGTCTGAAGAGGGTTTTGCACCACTGGAAACGTGTTAGAAGAAATCACGGATGTGCCATTGCCTTGACCGCAGAAATAAAGTGTACAGTTTACATTTGTGAGCAGAAAGTCTCATGATTTCTCTCTGACTCTGCTGAAAACACCAATTCAAGATGATAAGTACCAGTTTTTGTTTAATTTGGTTGACACTGGATTTCAAAGGCACACATCCTTTCATGCAGGATAATGAAAAGTTACAGATTTCCTGTCTGAACATGAATGTCTTTGTGTGTTTTTCAGCACTCCCATGTTCACCTTCGATCTGAATGCAGCTGTTGGTGATGTTGCGTGGTCTCCATACTCCTCCACTGTATTCGCTGCTGTCACAACAGATGGAACAGTAAGTGTCTATCTGAACATTTTGCAGCCCAGAGCTTGTCTTAGAAGTTTAGCAGTTTATGTTTTGTTTTGTTTTTTGCCTGTTTTGGTCTTCAGAATAATCTGGTTCAAGCCTCAGTGCATGATTATTCTTAGATTCATTAAGAATCTCACATCATTGATTTCATTCATGTCACATTCATATTTAAAGAGAGATGATTTTGCACAGTGTACACACCAAAAGACACATGACTAATACTGAATGGCTGCAGGTGATAAATGCTGACTGTACATTACAACCAGTCTCACACCTTCATGAGAGCTTATAGGATGTTTTGTCTGAAGGCTGTGATTATCACCGCCACACATCTGCTGTGTACCACAGATAACATGAGCTTGACGCTTACCTGACAGAACACGTGAAATCACAAACAGCTGCAACATCTACCACCTGCCACCCACCTCATTATCCTCGTAATATAGTTATAGACTCAGCTGACTAAATCCGTGCTATGTTCATAAGGCTAAGCCCCAGATTAATGCACAATCGCCTCAGGCAATTGAGTTTGTTCAAACACGGTTTCTTGTGACAAAGGCAGCTTCCCGCCTTGCCAGTGGTTATTGATTCCAGCCAAAAGTAATTTCAGCGGATGCCGTGTTGCTTATCTCCACATATTTTCTTAGTATGGCTGCAAGCTGTCCCCATCTGTTTGCCTTCGCACCAGTCTGCACCATGCTATAAAAGTCCAGAGTGTTGTGTCTGACACATTTCCTGTCCAGTGTGCCAAGTGAAGTCGAGTGAGAGTGACAAAGAGGAAATGAGAGCTGAGCAATTTGAGAGACACCTTATGTGATAGTGTGTGTGTGTACAGTCTTCCTCTCCAATGCCAGGATTCAGTCACCACAGACACAACACGTACTGTAGAATACCCACAATTATGCAAATTATTTCACAACCAAACATCAGTCTTAATAAGATCTGAAAGAGAGGAAACATCAGATTTGTTAACTAATTAACAGCCATAACTAAATGTCCCTGTCATAGTACACAAGTTGTGCATAAATAACAGTGGTAATGTACACAGCTGATTTTTAAACCCAGAATAAAACCAACAGTTTGTTTAATTGTAAACATCCTCTACAGAAAAAAAATCTAATTAAATGACTTTGCTAGAAAGCGTATTACATCTCAGTCCTGTATTGTAATTTATTCCCTGAAACTAGATCAAAAGCAGTTTTCAGCAGCTATTAAAAAACTCATTAAAAGCTCATCCGTTGGCATACATTTTACAAGCACAATATCCTCTCCTTTCTAAGCAGCAGGAAGGACAAGAATATTAAACTGGCGTCGATCAAGGTCAGTGTGCCTGCCCCATTTTTCCTCATCATGCTACTCAAAACTGAACTATCAATTCAGTCTGATTTTAAGAATGTGCTTGGGCAAAAATAGCTCAGACTTTGCTGACATGAGCTAGTGATTATATAGGCATACTAGTATTTACTCAAATGTCAGATTTTAAGATAGTTTAAGTGTCATCTGTAAAGTGACAGGGCTGTGCAGAATTAACTGCATCCACTAAATAACTGTTATACATTCAGTCCAAGCCAATGCTAAACTCGCCATTTGGTTGCCATCACATTTTGAAGATTGACAGAATATTGTCAGAATTCCCACATTCACCAGTGCGGTCACGGTGCATGATGTTTATTGGCGTAATGTTCCCCAGGATAGCAGATTCTTTGCAGTAAAATTTTTCCGTTTTCTGTGACAAGTGTGTGGTGGAGCTTGAGTGACTCAGCCTGAGCTGTGCGCCCCTTGACGTGTATTCTCTGTTGATGAAATCCTGGCCTGCTGCTGCTGCTGCCACACTGCAAAATGTCAGACACAATGGCGTACGTGTTTGTGTGTGTGCCTGCGTACGTGCGTGTGTACATGTGTTCATAAGGATAATGACTTGCCTGGCAAGCTGAGGTGCAAGAATGACACTGAGTTGTGCAGTGCAAACAAATATCTCTTCGTTCTCTCTGTCCTTGCCTCTCCATCTGAGCTGACTGTTGAGGAAATAAAGTGTCAGGATGAAATAATGAGAGGACCAGGCTTATCCTCCAGTGATTAGTCTCCAAATCCATATTTGCTCTCTGTCCAGGTTCTCTTAACCTTTTGCACGTGGACTGCCTCATATATCAGTGGCTATACCTGTATCATTCTACATTTTTAAATCTGATACATCAACAACATCAAACAGATGAAAATTGCCTACATAATTTAAAGGATTTGATAAAATAAAAAATCAATTAAAATACTAGAAGAGTGCTCTTAGTAGAGTGCAGGTCTCCACCAGGCAGCCAGCTGAACTAATCGCAGCCATTCTAGACAATTCTGCTCCAAAGATGTGCTGTAGCACGTTTCAGAAGCTAATAAAAATACACAACACATCTATTTTTGACAGAGCTGCAGCGCATTGCATAGAGCAGATTGAGTTATCCTGCTATGGGCACTGTATGTGAAATATAGATACCATGTAATTTTGAGCATGAATGTATTGTTAATGACAAAGCAGCTATGAATCTGTGATCTGCTGTTTGTGATCCATTTGATCGATTGATCCATTCATAACTGGACTTTTAATGGTATTAAGTTTGTAGGCTACAACAGTTAAAAAAGGTCCAAAAAAGAAACCATTAACTATGAAGGCTACTTACTTACGTAGGGCAGAAGCATAAATGTCAAGGAAAAATGACCAAATCAGCAAAACTGAGCAGGTGAAATGCTCCATTTCTGAAACACTGTTGGTGTGGTGTGATACCATGCAGCGGACGGAGCAAAGCTGGGTCACAGCCATGAGAGCCAGCGTACAGCACAGCTTGATTTGTCCCCAGGTGCCTTATAGTTGAGATGACAGCAAAGATGAATCCAGTTCAAAATGAGACCGAACTTTTCTACGTATATGTATATGGCCAAAATGTGTCCAGCAACAGATGGTTAGGCTTGTTTTTAGACTAGTCGATTACTGGTAAACTTGCGACCCTTACTAGCTGGTTGAGAGTAGTGAGGAGTCAGCAGTAAGTGATGGTATAAAACAGTCAATAAAACAGTTTTTTCACTATGGTGAATCAAAACAACCACTAGAAGTTCTTGACCATGCAATCATAAATGTACGCACAAAATATTAGGCTGATTGGTCCAGTGGTTTTAGAGTTAGCTGCGAACAGACAGATATACACATGCACACACACAGGACCCAACCCATGATCCCATCCAGGCATATGCCTGGTGGAGATAACAATATGTAATACAATATAAGTTTGATAACATACAGGCAATCATTTCAACACAGTGAAATGTATCTCTGCCCCAAGTACTTGTGTGAATTACAAATATAGTCAGTGTGTACTGCAATCAGTCATGACTAATGAGCAAAAACACTGTGGATAATGGCTGTGGTGATGGAGGTTACAGAAAGTCATACCCTGATAGAATATGATGATTGGTTGCAAGTGATGACTGCAATGTTTTGTGTGGTGCCGGTACACATAGACAGTGTGAACCCTAGCAGCCCGGGCACAGTCATCTTTCTGGTAAAAGGAGTGGGTTGTGCTTTGCAGTGGGCTCGCTTGTTGCTGACAGATTGTCTAAATGCACTTATTACTTATGCACTTCTCTGTGATCTGGTTCCTTCTGGATAGCAGTGCCCATGATTTTATTTTGGGGTTGCCAGCACAGAAAAGCATACATACATACGGACAGAAGTGCATGCCGGGAGCACCCTTCTGACCAGATGGTCAGGCTGCATCCCAGCAGAGGCTTGTGCTCCACCAATCTCCCTCTCACATAAAAGACAACACAAACACAAGATATGAAAAGGCAGTCTGTAGCAACAGATTTAGCCTTTACTTACTTACTGTGGAGGCACAATCTTCACACATACATCCTCCAGGCTAAATATGTCAGTAAGATGGGTCAGTTTTACCAAATATTTATTAAACTTAAATGTCTGACTGTAAAAAAAAAAATCATAAAAAACATTTTTCATTTGATTACTCATCTTTTTCAGGTTCATGTCTTTGACCTCAGCGTCAACAAATATGAGGCTATCTGCCAGCAGCCAGTGGTGGCCAAAAAGAAGACCAGGCTGACTCACATTGAGTTTAATCCCATCTATCCTATCATCGTAGTGGGTGATGACCGAGGCTATGTCAGCAGCCTCAAACTCTCCCCTAACCTCCGTAAAAAACCCAAGGTAAGAATCTTATTGAGCTGCCAGAGAAAAACTTTCAGGCTGCATCCACACAAATACACTTTTGTTTCAAAATGCACAACTGTTGCTATGTTTACACCTAGCATCAACACTGCTTTGGCGTATTTGAACCCCTAAAATGAAGACTTTTGAAAACGCTGCTGACCATGTTTTAGTTTGAGAACTTTGGGTTTTGTGGTTTATTCTGGAAGGGCAGAAATGGAGACTTCTAAAAATGATGACACCCATGTTTTCTTCCTGATTGGGTGTTATCAGTGACAACATATCAAGCCAAAACACAATAGCATTACCCTGGATTTTGCCGGCAATAGCTAATGCTCTTGGTAATACCATAATAAGATGTCACCGTATTTGCTTTGTAACACTTCCCAGTCTGTTTTGTGCTGCCTTTACCACCTTATGCTCGTGTTACTTTCAGTAACAGTTCCATCTTATTGTTCGTCTAAGCAAAGAAATCTCCAATCTTACTTTTTGCCACTGCTGTTCTCCCCCCTTGTTATTTTCTGTAACTAAGCAAACTAGATTGACGAAGGTATGATTTGCACTCCTCTGCCTTACTCTACCTCCTATTGGCTTACCCCGATTTTTCTTACCCTAACCCTAATCCGTATGACTCCGCATGCATAAACCTCAGCAACCCATCCAACAAAGGCACCTAGTACTAGCCAATCAGAGGGAGAGTAGGGTGGGTCATACCTTGATAATCCTAGGGAAAACAATGTAGCCAACCACAGAGCCAACCACAGAGCACAGACCATATGTATTAATATATGTGTTAATATATGTTTAATGTCATGTAATATGCATTTTCAGGCATGCTAGTATGAATGGATAATATTTTTTGAAATGGTTTTAAAATGATTGTGTGTACAGTTTTCCACACTGTGGCTGTTGCTTCAATCATATTACAATTGTTTGAGCTAATTCACTCCAAACCTACGCCCATTTCAAGGCTGCTTATAAGTGGTAAGAGAATAAACTTGCCTTTCCAAATGCAGCAGCTCTATTATTCCATGTTTATTCTCTTGCTACTTTGTCTTTATAATTAGGCGCTATTGGCAAATACAAATGGAGCTTGTCCACATTACAAATTAGGTACCAAATCTTCTGCCACTTAAAGCACTATGGAGAAGTTTGTTCTGCATTGTTACCATCACACTTAAATGGCCTATTGTGTTCTTTCACCTTATTTATCACCTCATCTGTAAATAATGTGAATGCATTTCTGCCCTTCTGCTCCACATCAATGAAAGCAGATCAGATGATTCACTCTTTGTCCTGACCTCAAGCTAATTTCACCAAGTAACAATGGAGTGAAGGCCACCGTTCCCCCCCCCCCCCTCAGCTGCTCATTATCAGCATCACTAATCGCCTGTATTTCTCTCTCCCTTGCTCATTTAGGCCAGTTAACAATTAGCCACAGAGAAGTCGAGTGTTCCTTGTAATTGAATAAGCTTGTTAGGACAGATCACAAAGGAGAAGCTGAACACAAATTGTCACATATTGGAAATTTTACTGAAAATAGACGTGATTATCGGCAGCCCAGTGGCTTAAAAAGCTGTTCACATAACTGCAACTGCCATCAAGGGTACTCATGATGAGGCAGGCATGGATCTTTTTTTTACAAGACAGACCCCAGTCTGTCTTCTTTCCATATTCTCTGTACCTCATACTGGCAATAAATACCAAGACATACTGGGTAAAATAATCTTTAAAAAAAGGGAGATAAAATAAATATTGAATTTGAAGCCAGTTGTAGCTATACAGTAAAACAAAATCCCACTTTAGTCCATTTACAATTGATGAGTCACCGAAGGCTCTGTTGCCACTCATGACAGTGCTTAATGAGCTGTGGAGTAATCACAGCGGTCCTACTAAACACAGGAGGAAACCAAATGGCACACTGAGTCACAACACTTTAATCAGGGCCCATTTAGAGTCAGCTCTGCAGCCTCTCCAGTTTTCCTTTGTGTTGCTCACATAGGTGCATGTAAGCTAGAAGAAATTCCAATGACTAGTGTAATATTTATTTTCACAACATATTTTGCATTATGCACGGCGTCGCGCGGGCCTGGGTGTAACACATAAACACTTCTCATTCAACCACTCACACTTTGCATGGGTACAGCATATCAGCACATACACACGCATCCAGTGCTACCTCATTAGCGACCTCAGACTGTAGCCCTAAAGTGTACAATTGGGAAATAATTGCACAGTTCAGCACCACTGACAGCACTCAGAGCATTTTGGAGCCCAGAGTGGCAAATAAGCATCAGGCACAAACACCCACAGCAAATATTATCAGTAATATGTCTTATACAATTGGCACAGCAGCCCACAGAAACTTGCACAATAGGCATGGTGACCCATTAATATACTCAAAACACTGGCACAGTGGCCTGGCAACACAAACTGTAACAATTCAAGTGTGTTGTGCTCACCTAGTTGAAGGGCATTCAGTTAGGCTGACAAGGCAACTTCTGCAGTCCTTTACTCTCACTAAACCAGTCCACTTGACTTCTGTTGTCTTGTGGTGCCCCTTAAATATCTTTTAATTAATCGTTTTGAGCTTCCAAAGTGAGAGGTCAAGTGTTAGAGCTCTGACTCTAAGTGTCAGAAATTTAGGATGTACCTTGCCAAAGTATGCTCTAAAATGTTCTCTCTGTTGTGCTGAACCAAGTAGTTATTTCCCAGTTGTAAGCCTGAGGCCTACAGTCATTAATGAGGTACTGTTGTGTCAGTCGTGCCTGCTATACACACAGAAATGTACAGGCGTGTGGTAATGTGGAGTTATTGTGGAGGGTCTGTGGTGGTGAGAGACAAGAGTCCACTGTTACGTTTTTGCAGACTGACATTTCAGGTTGAATCTCATCTAATAGTGTTTCACAATTCCCATAATGCATATTAAGTACCTGAAAGTGCACATAATAGTGTTCTTTAGACACACACTCACACACATAAATGTTCATCATCTTTACATGACTACTAGCATCAAACAGTGCCTGTCTGTCTTCAACACGACACCCTGTTCTGTTCAGCTGTGTGCAGCCTGAATGTGTTCATCTCCTCTGTTCTCCTTTCAGTGGCCTCATTCTTTGTTCCCACAAATCACAAGTGGCACTTTCAATATAAAAGCAGTATTATGCAAAATTTTGTGATTTATCACTATTGTCTCCCAGATTATAATATCTTTCATAACATTTACATTTGTATCAACGTTGAGTGCTAGAAAATGAGCAGACACGACATTCTGGGCCTTACAGCACAGGTAAGGCTTCCCACCTGTATGCATTAGTCTGGGATTTTATCGCTGCAGCAAGAAAACAAGCCAGGGAAAATAGTTTAGCAGATAAATCATATCACAGTATGACATCTTGAAAGATAATGAATTCTTGTGATTTTGATTGCTTTGGGAGTTTTATTAATTTGTTGTGGAGGTTTGTGTGCGGTCAGCCTTTCTCTCCACTGTGGAGGAAGCTTTATTGAGTCGTTCATCACAGCAGAGATATTGTTACATCGCAATTTGATGCTCATTCGTTTAGGGAACACAGCTGTCTGTCTGGATCAGCCCCCTCATGTATCCATTTCAAACTTCAAAACAGCTACGCCATTATATAAATATAATTTTCCTAGCTTCAAAGGAGGAGGTCGAAAGTCAGCCCTCATTCAGCTCGTTCAACTCTGTTGATGGGTCAATCATGCTTTGTCACTATGTCATACTTCCACTACACAATTAAACAACAAACTATTATGTACTAATGTTTCATGTGTGCTGTTTTGGTTAGTTTGATTACAGTGATTAAATTTAATTTACCAGCGAAACGTGCACAGACAGAAATTTAATCAAGGATAGAAGTGTATTTTGTTATCAAAGCCATAACACCAACCACCATCCCCATCGTTTATTGTACTCTAGGATTTATAGCATCCATGGAATATATTTAGTATGCATATTGCTATTTGTATTCTTCATGTTGTCATTTTTCCTGTGTGAACATTCTACATACAATTAATTATTAGAATAGACACAGCATTTCATAGCAGACATTATGGGATGGCGTAATGAGAAAAGCACAAGTGTATCTAATAACACTGATGATAACTGCATTAGCGCCTGTGTCCACATAGTGTTTTTCTTCAGCAGTGAAGCAGCAGTGGCAGGGCACTGGGGAGCGCCTCATCCCAGGGCTTTTTAAATGATACACTGTGTGTTGGTATCTTGACATTAACGTTAGCTAGGTAGCTAATACAATGCTACATTAACAGAGGGTTGACAACACAGGCTACAACAAGTGTACAGTGATAAAAGCTCAACACTCACGAGCAACATTCAGCGTTCGGCGGCCAATCTGCTCCCACAAATGGCCCTTTTCATCTTTGCTGTGACAGTAGAGAGTAGCCTATATAAAGGAGTGGCAGTGACATCACCAGTGCCTTCCTGAAAAGTTTAGAGATTTTTAAGGTCTCGGAGCGGCCACACAAAAAAGTCGAGGTGTTCTGAAAACAGAAGATGGATGCAGCGCTTTTTCTCTAGGCGGCCACATGCAGCTAAATACGTCCTCTCTTCATTGGGAGAACTTTAAGAAAAGACCCCAGTACTGAGAAAAAAAAAGCTTTATGGACACAGGCCATTACATCCAGATGCTGTGGTTCCAGGGTCCTGGGACAGTGCACGCGAGCTCACTAGCATGACTTCCTGGGACACTTGAATGTAACAAGCCATCATTAATGTTACTATGCTGCCCTCAAACACACTTGTTAGCTCGTGGCATTGACATGTGAAGACGACATGTACACGATATGCTTGCAGTTCAAGTGGTAAATCATGAGACTATGGCTGTTAGGCAACAGCTACTAAGAGGCTAATAATCTAGCAAGCTAGCAAGCAGGTAACAAAGTGAAGAAAATGCAGAGATAATAACAGAGGAACAAGATGAGGCTGTTGAGAGTATCACCATTTTCCTCAGACAAATAAAATCACAAATGAAAACTATGGGCCAGATCCTCAAAAGGATTGCACTGCTTTTGCGACCACTAAACCTGTGCAAATGAGAGAAAAAAAATAGCGTGCAATCCACAAAGCACACGCAAAGGGTGAAATGCACGCAAACTGAACACAAACTGCACTGCCACTCCTAGCTGCGCCGGTCCAATTTGCATGCATGTAAATTAGGGAATATTCATAAATTCTGCGCAAAATTGCCCCCTTCTTATGCAAATAAGCCTCATTGCAAATACCACCTAATCCACAAAGACCAGCGCTAATTGCCACAGGCAGTAAAGCGGTGCTATTTAACGCCAGTGAGACCCGTGTATTAAATCCGCGCAATTTCTCTTTCTCCCTCTCTCACTCTCTCTCTCACGCAAAATGATTGCAAATTTCACTCAGTTGGTGGTAACTGTGGAGCATAGCCTATATAAGGGCTGTCATGCCAGGACTCCGGTAATCATGGCAGCAGTGATTGTAGCCAGGCGAAGGCACCGTAATGGCAGGCGCGCACCAGAAAGGATTTATCGGAAGAGAGTATCACTTTTTGATTTAAGTGACAATGAAATCATTTGCAGATACCGGTTGCCACGCCGCATGATCCTTGCGCTACTAGATGACATCAAGGATGACATTGAGCCTGCCACCCAGAGATCCCATGCTTTACCTGGCATTGTCAAATTAGTGTCTACTAGTGATGCGCGGATGGGCTCTGACGGCACCCGAATCCGCATCTATCCATCAATCATCCATCCACCACCCATCCGAGCAAATTAATTTTCTGTAATTACAGACCCACATCCACCCGCACCCGCACGTTTATATTATCAGGAAAGATTAGATCCTGACCGATCCTGTCAGCTGACTGACATTAAAATAATCAATAAAATGGCGCCGTTACTCCGTGCGTAAAGGCGCACATTGGCACTCTTAATGAGGAGACACTCATTTCTGCTGCAGCGGGGATCACTGTGTTAAATAAACCCTTCCACATGACACATTTAAAGAGTATGCTTGCCCAGCCAATCATACATTATTTATCAGCGGGATATAAGCATGATGATATAGAGGGCCTATTGTATTGCACACGACACAAGTAGGCTCATTTCACATTTTAGAGCATGCAATTTTCCCCTCATTAATGTTTGTCAAAGCAATTTGTAAACTTTGTTTTTAAAGGGTGCGATTTAAATAAAAGTAATTATTAGGCTATTATTTTCACCCGCCCATAACCCATCCGCCATTAATCAGATTGTTCATTTTTATCACCCGATCGACCTGGCGGTTATAACTGCCATCCGCGCATCTCTAGTGTCTACACTACAGGTTCTTGCATCTGGCTCTTTCCAGAACCCCATTGCAGGCGTCTCAAGGCTCTCACAGTCATCCATCAGCAGGGCCATGTGCTGCAAATTGCGCTAAGCTGCCAAACTTTGTGGGCGTGTTAGCGCCGGCATATGATTAGAGCAAATTCTTTTGAGGATAAGGTGCTAAAACAGGGCAGATTGCATGAGCTAATTCTGCGCAAATAATGGCGCTATTAGCAGGAGCAATCCATTCTTTGTGGATCTGGCCCTATGTGACTATAATTACATTATATTAACTTCCAATCCACCAAAAAATTAACTTCCATGGCCTCTGCCATTTCTGTAAATGTCAGCAAACACATCACAACTTGTGAACTCAGAGCTCTCAGAAAATTTCCACTTTCAAGGACAAGAATGTTGACATGAACTCTTCTTGTGAACACAGTAAACACGACCCCATTTGAAGGCAGCTGTTACACCTGTGCTTTCCTGCTGTCAGTCACAATGTCTGCTGTGGCAAAGGTTTAAGGACGCAGGGAGCGTTCTTGAGCCAGTTTTTTTGGATGTCATGGTGAGAGCAGGGCAGTCAATTCACTGTTTACATAAACTTTTCTGACGATGCTCACTTATTTTCTTGCAGTTTTAGGATAAGTTAGGCTTTTGCACCTCACTTAATCCAAAAAACAGTGTGTTATTCCTCGATAAAGATCAAGTGAAGCCTCTGTATGTATGAGAAAAGCCTCTAACAATAGTAAATGAGCCCTGATAACGAGAGGCCCGTTAACAGAGGTAGAATAAACTCCTGCAGCAAAACAGAGTAAATGTGGAGCCATATTATATAGCTCTTAAGTGGCTGCACTTTTCTATACACAGGAGTATTTAATAGGTCAATAATAATAGCACACCACAAACTGGAAGATCTCTTTGAATTTGCCCTTTGTAATGGTGCCCTTCAGGCAAGAGCTCCATGACTTCAAAGACGATCTCACAACATGGTGGAAAGAAATTATTATATAATGGAGTAATATCACCACTCTGCTACTATTGACCTTACATCCATTTCAATTTCTGTCTGATTGTTTTGTGTTCTCCTCTGGTTAACTGCCTGCCCGTCGGGTTTGTGGTCCTCCCAAGTGCTTGGTAAGCATTATGTCAAGTCATTTCTGATTTGCTCTCTGTGTCTTCTATGTGTGTGTGTGTGTGTGTGTGTGTGTGTGTGTGTGTGTAGGGCAAGAAGGGTCAAGAGCTGCCTAAGGGTCCAGAAGTGGAAGTAGCCAAGATGGAGAAGCTCCTCAGTCTGCTGAGGGAACCAGAGCAAAGCGCAGTTTAACGTTGGCTTGCCAACACAGCAACATGGTACAATCTTTTATTCTCATTCATAAAAAAAGGAAGAAAAAAAAAAACATTCGCTCAGTGTGTGCAACAGTAAACAGCATCAGCAAGACAACAGTTTGTATGTTTCTTCTGATCTTGTTTAAGCTGTTAATAAATTATTCATATTCAATAAATAATGCATTTATTTATACTGCAGTACTTGATACATATTAAACAGGCAACATTAGAATTCCATTGACTTGACTGACCTCTTCTGCAGGGATTTATTAAACCAATTCCATGTATTGTACAAGTTGATTAAGCTAAAAAGTGAAGGGGGAGAGTTACTGCAAGTGAACAGGGAGATAAATTAGCGTAATAGATTGAGCATTTCTGGACTTTATCCAGACAACTTATCTTGGCTGGCACCCGTCGTCCTGGGCATCCATCCAGGGATGAGCTAGAAGCCTTTTAATATCCCATCTACGGAGAGAACTTTGCTTTGACTCATGGTGGCGTCCGTTTTTATTTTGTCTGTTTCTCAATCCCTCTCCGTCTAATGATCTTGTCCTTCAGTGAAGTACCACCCAGTGCTTTGATGCTCAACTGGAATCAAATGTTGCCACAGTGCTTGCTCTCTTTCCCTCTCCCTGCTACAGAGAGCATCTCTGCCCTTCACATCTTCCTGCAAACACATGCAGCACTCTCTCCCTAAAGTGTGATTCATTACTTCATCTCCACAAGTTCAGTTAGAGAGGGACGCCCAGTCACCTCATTTCTACAGACAATGCGTAACAAATGATTGTGGCCATGGGTAGTAATGAAAATACAGCTGCAAGAGTTACCTCATTACTGCGGTAATAGGAAGCATACTGCGGCTTTGTATGATTTGTTTATGTTGCATTGTTGTAGATTGTTGTGGCTGCCAGTATCACGTTTGGGCGGGGTGGAGGAGTATTCTAGTGGGTAGAAAAAGCAAATCAGAGGTCAGTTTCAGGGCAATAACTGCAGTGTTTGCAGAGTAAAATGCCACCTTTGTGTACTTTTACTCTCATGTGTCATCAATATGTAATATTCAGCAAGCTTCAGGAGCTACTTGATGATGTGTTGTAAGTTGCTTCTGTCTGTATCCACTGTCTCTTGTATTGTGAACATTAACTTCAGTTATTTTACTAAAAAGACTTTTAACAGAGGGGGGACTTCTTTCTTTTGTGGTTTACTCTTAAGAGACAGACAGAGAGATGCCTTTTACTCATGATATGTTTCATGTCTGCATTGCATTCTGGTCTACTGAGGCTATTGTCAGTGGAGGAATCAGTTTGTCTGTATCTTTTACTTAACCTTCACAAAGTTTTCAGGATAGTTCAGAGACGCTATGTGTTATATAGAATATTTATGTGATTACAGCATATTTTAAATTATTCTGATTGCTAAAGGTTTTTTTTTTTTTGTAGAAAAACAAGCTCATCCCAGCATGAAGTGTATGTATTGCTTTCAGCCTGTTCCTCTCAGGCTACATCCACATTAACACATTTTCGTTGTAAAACGCTGCGTTGTAAATTGCTACCTTTATACCCAGCGTACACACTAGTCTGGCATTTTGGAACCACTTAAACTGGAACTTTTGAAATCGCTGTGCTGCCCCCATTTTAGTTTGAAAACTCTCAGGGTTGGGTTTTGCAAACAATGACACATATACCCATATTTGCTGTCAGTCATGATGCGCCAAGCCAAAACATTATAGCGAGATCTACATACCTTATGTGGTTTCATTGCTCTTGTGTATATACTCCTTTCCCATTGCCATGGCGTCCTCCAGTGATGGATAATGTTCCTTGTACTGCCCTAATATGTCGCTGTATTTGCTTTGCAACGACTCCCTATCTGTTTTCTTCCGTCTTGACCACCTTATACTCATGTCTTACTCTCAATAACAATTCCACCTCATCGCCCCTTCAAGCAAAAACATTTCTGGTCTTACTTTTCGGCATCCTCATAGTATTTTCTGCGACTAAGCAATCAACCACAGAGTCGATAATCTGCTTCCTGTGTACATCAGCACACGCTTGCCCAGTGTGCATGAAAGGTCATGTTATATACGCTCTCAGGCATGTTAGTATGGACAGAGATGAATTCTAATATGTGTACAGAGATTGTTTTTTGTTTTTATACACTGTTTCAAAATGAAAACATATTAGTGTGGATGTGGCCTCAGTTTCCCTGCATCAGCTCCATGGTTGTGGTGGTGGGGGCAATGCTGCAGTTTACCTTCCTGTCGATCACAGTGTATTTTTGGTACTACAACTGGGGTGCCCCAGAGTTGGAAATCTTTTAAACTCTACACACACACACAGTAGCAGATATATTCTTATGTGAGCAACAGCAATATATTCTGAAATCCTTGCTTGCATAGTCCTTACTCTGTGTTATTCTGATATTAGTCTCGCATAGCCGGACCTCTCTCCACACTTGGTTTTAGCGCTGTGCCAGCACTTGAGAGAGGTCTTCCTCACTAAAGGAAAAAAATGCTCAATCACAACCATCTTGGGCAGCACTACGCTCAGGCCTCAGCGACAGTGCCCTTGCAAAATAGTGTCAGGGGACAGTGAAAGGGGAGGGGAACTCTGTCCGAAATAGGCGGCCAATGGCAGGCTTATACCCACAGTCTACACCCTGTGAGTCAGACTACTCTAATATCAGCTAAAAAGCCTGAAAGGTAAAATTTAAATTACACATCTTATTATCTTTTAACTCTACAACATGCCTTGTTAAGTTGCAGCACCAGCTATACAGGTTAAATGCTTAAGTATTGATAATTTGTGGTGGGATGCTGGGGGAGCGTGTTGCTGTTTGTGGTCTGCAGATTCCATACGATAGATCCCTCTGTATGTGTGCGTCCCGTGCTTCAGTCCAGAGTGAGTGGGCCATCATGCACAGCCACAAGCAGATGTCAGTGTGAGGGCCGTATTGAAGAGGACACAAATCTCAACTAAGCCTCTCTAGTCCTTATGTAACACCCTCAGCAAGCCGCTATGCCTCGCAGATCGCTGGTATTTATGAGTGACAATGACACACACACTCCACACAGGCTCAAGTCCCTGTTGTCGGCAATATACTGGTTTTGTCTTTTTTTTCAGGACAGAGTATGAAATAAGAGGATATATTTAGAAACCTCCAACAACAGGCCAGCCGCTCTTTGTGTACTGAACATTCCATTTTCTTGGTCTTTGTGCAATCTGCATCCATCCCTGTGGCCGTGTCCTTTTTCTCCAGGCTGTGTGTGTGTTAAATGTATACATTCACATCGGCGTTCCTCCATGTGACGAGGTCTGACAAGTGATGGCTGCTTAGAAATAGTCTTTCCACTCTACCATAATTCATCCTTGCTCTCTTTGTGAGGCGCAGCCACTCCTGCCATCTGATTCTAAAAACTACAAAGGGCAAGCCTGATTATTGCTTTAAGTCAGTCCCAGTGCTCCCTCAGTCCCCTCTACTGTGGAGGAGTGCACTATGGCCATCGCTCATTGCTACAGTTGACGCATCCTTCTGCAGTCAGGAAGTCAGCAGGTACTTGTGCTCGTTCAACTGCTGGGGTTCTCCTTCGCTAGGAGCCAGCACCGGCAGCCTGTCCGGGCTGGAGGGGACCCTGCAGGCTCGGTAGAGGATCAGACAGAGAAGGAGGAGGAGGATGGCGACAAACGTGTTGCAGGCAATGGCCACCAACGCAGCTGTAGACAGTCCTGTTATGCTCTCTTCAGATTCCATAATGAAGACTGGACTGCAGTGTCCACTGTGGGTCGACTGAGATGTTAGATTTTAAGTTGCTTCCATGATGTCCTCAGTTCGTTATTATGGAATGGGTCCACAGATGGGATTGACTCACTGTATTCCCATCATATAGTTAAATGCCTCAGGTATTGTGAGGTGAAAAAATCAATATGTATTGTGACTGTGAAAGGGGAGTGTTCCTTGGCACGGCGCACATAGTGTTTTGCTGAATATTTAGATTAGACAACAGCAGGAAATTCTGCTTGTACCTCTCACTGCTGAGATGAATGTTTACTCCTCAAGGCTCTGTTTTTCTTTTTAGCTTCTTTAGGGTGACACACCACCACTCCGCCATACAGATGAGCCTCGCAGCGTTTACCGGCGCTGTTGATTTCACAGTAGTCCGCACTATCAAAAGACTGCTTACAATTCCAGTAAATGCTTTCTGGCGTCTGCAAGAGAGGAACAGAGAGAACAATTAGGAGTATTTGAACACAACAGGGTATAAGATGGGACATAAGAACAAGCTCTGTGTCATATTTATCACATAACATATCAACATTCACAAGGTCAGCAGGCAGATAGCTGGACTATTGGTCTTTCACATGTCTGCAATCAAACAAGTGTGACCTGGTGATAAGAAAACAAGATTTTAGTGCTTATTTTTGGTGTTTAAAGTCAAATGAAATTCCTGATAAAAATTAAGACATCAGGTCATGCTTTTTGATTTTACAATCATAAGACTTATTTTGTCAATACAGAGCAAAAATTTTATTCTGAATATGGCAACAACCACATTAGAGAAAGTATAGATCAGGGGTAGACAACCATGAGGTCAGTCTGCAGGTTTTCATTCCAGCTGATCACCACAGACAAGTTCTCGCTCTCCACTTGAAGTACTGTGGAATCCTGGTGCAAATGAAAACCTGCAAACATGGTTGGCAAGGCTGGATTACTGCATGCCATTTGGTTTGCATAGTTTGATTATTGTTAACTTGCCAAGGAACTTGTACCACCAAAGTCTGGCTGTTTTCATCAACTTTTCGTACGTTTCCCCATGAAAATAAATCCGCCAAAATTCATACTATCCCACATAATAATGAACCAGTAATTCATGCATAACCCGCATATTTCGAAAGGCTGCGGTCATGTGACCAAAGCACCTGACGGGAGTAAAGAAGGAAGTGGTCCAGAGCAGTCTCGGAAGGCAGCAGATTGGGGTGGTGGATGGGTCACAAAACACAGGACTTTCCCCAGGAGACCGGTGT